ATCGTGGTAGAAAACTTTGAGAATTTGTAGATCGATGTTCTTTGCAAATATATATAGTGGTGTTCTATTTGCTAAACTTGTAACGTAGAAACTCTTTTCATCAGACTCATTAGGAAATGACTTCCAAATTCTCTATCTATACTATTGGTCTCCTTGTTCTTTGTTTATCATATTTATAACATCAGTTGGTATATACTATTATCATTTTCAATTTAAATTTATTTTGTGTCACATCATTATTTAACTGATGATGATTCTCTAGCTTCTATTACTATGTGAATTTATTCACTTACAGAGAATTTAGTAAAAGAGTAAGCTACAAGATGTGTAGATATTGGGACTCCGTGCACAAATAATAGTGATTGTTAGCTACCATGCACATAGAGAGGTCTTGGTTATAATTGGATTTGCCGCTCTACTGGGTGTTGCTGTAGTGCAATATAACTTCTAGTGCCTTATTAGTGATAAATAATAATGTCAGAAGAAGTGTTACTGATATGTCATCGCTTTTTTTTCTAATCATACGTGTCCTACAAATCAATCATATAAGTGATAACATATATATGATATGACATACACTCTTTTTATTTATTATATTATTTGATGTTTTATCACTTTATATTTCTTATTGTATGAATATATATTGTGATGTTCATGTGCAATGAGAATCAGATCGTGATAAGATCACGATAATGAACCCGATTCGTCTTTAAACACAGACCCTAAATAATCATGATCATAGGTTACTCGAGAAAGACATCGAGATAACTGGACAAACTGATGTACTATATACCCGTCCATATAATGGAGGCAACTGGTCTCATAGCTGCTCGTGTGGGGACACTAGGGATATAGTGCAAGTGTTCATTAGAGAATGAGTTCACTGATTGATCCACTCATAGAATAATGGATGGTTGATGATACCTTATTGTTAGACAACGATTCCATAGTTCCAGTGGTGTATCTAGTTCTTAGACTTGAGACACCAAAAATATCTTGTATGAGTATTCCACTCTTTAATATTAGACTTATAGGCCTGAAAGTCTTAGATCCAACATAGTCAGTCATTAGGAGTGGTAGACAACCTTACGAGAGCTATTAAGTGTCGATAGAGGATCATTCACTCTCGGTGTAATGAGAGAAATATCACATGTATTCTTGCTCAAACAACTCCCTACCCAAGATCATTCGGATTGAGAGAGAAAGAGTTCTCCGGGAGAATCCGATTAGAGCGAGACTCGAGTAGAATGAGCCCAATAGCACTATGCTCAGTATATGATCTCTAGGATATTATATGGATGAGAGACTACAGATATACAATAACTAAGAATAGATAAGTCCAATGGATTGATTCCCCTGTATCGTATGAGAATTGCGGTGTAGTGGCCTAGACGTCCGTAGTCGATGAGTCGAGTGAATTATTATAAAGATAATAATTCACTAAGTTAGAAGAGTTCTGATAGGTATAACTCATAGCCAGTTTGATATTGGGCCTAGAGGGTCACACATATATGGTAGGTGTTATGACGAGTAAAGGTTCGGATGTGAGATATCCGTTGGAACCCCTATCTTATTGGATATTCAATAATCCCATGAATTATTGGATCCTATAAATGAGATCCAATAAGAGTCAATAAGAGATTATCGGGTAAAGACCCACTAATCTAAGAGGGTTGGTAGTTGAATGGAGATCTAGTACCCAATATGGCAAGATTCATTCGAGTTAAGTTAACAAGGATCCTCTATGAATAGGAAGGAACTAAAGGGTCATGATCTAAGTTCTTTTTTGCTACCACCTCCTATTCTCCTTTCTCTCCCTCTTCTCCTTATATTGCAGCCCCTATTTGGGGCATGTAGACAACAAGAAGGGGTAGCCCCTCTTGATTATGTGGTGCATACAAGAAAGAGTTTTGGGCAGTGATTTGAGAAGCATCTTCGCAGCCCCTATCATGTGGATCACCATCAGAGATTAGGGCATTTGAACTTCTTTATCTAATCTCATAGATCTGTAGGAATTCAATGATATACGATCTCTCTAGGTAATTCTCTTATGCATAGTTTTTCGGTTTCGTAGGTTTTTGCGCATCGACTTTTGCATCACAATAAGAAACATTTTTCTACGAAAATTCTGGGATTTTGTTTTCTATTCTTCTACTGTACATATGATATCACCCCAGATTTCTTAACAGTGGTATCAAAGACAAGTTGCTCGTACAAAAGATAAAGATTGACTTTTAAACTGTGTATTGTGTTCAATCGCGTTCAAATTATTTTACGTGATTACTATGATTTTTTTAGATCTATGCTATAAATTTTTCTTATAAGGTGTTTTAGATAGGGCTTTTGATTTCAAGGAAGTTCGAGAAAAAGGACAGCAACATTTTCTTATATATATATATATATATATATATATATATATATATATATATATATAAGAGCCATATCAATATTATAAACCTTGGAAAGAAGAGAATAAAGCATATGGTATACCTTGGAAATTAGAAAAGAAGCTAAAACCTGTTATTTATCCAAAGGAAATTAATTTGCTAATACAAAATGTAGTCATAAATCTTCTTGTCTCAGCAACAACAGACATCTTTGATCTATTAATATATATTTCAGAAGCATCAGAACATGGGATTGCAGGGCTAGCAAACATATCAGCTGCTCCTGCAACAGTTCTTCCAAGTAGCTTACTCATAGATCATGTCCCACAAAGTTAATGGTACATTCTACTCCAAGATATCTGCCATATATACTAACTATCAGCTTTCTAAACCATCCTGATAACAATCACCATGGAAGTAAACCCTAATGGAAAGAGTGCTTCATCCTAAATATCTGAATGGTATGGAAGCTCTTACTATTTTTTTAGTTATTAATTCCATCTGTAATATTTTTACTCAAATATCTTTAGCAAGAGTGATGTCACAAACGTAGAAGCAAATGGATCAGTAATATTTAAGCTATATATTCCTTTCAAGCCCATGCTCTCAGTCCGGACAATGACTGGACGAGAAGTTGCTTTGCTTTCTCACTCCACTTTATTATTGAAGAATAAGAATAGGTAGTAGAAGGAGAGGTTTATCCAGCTTTAGAAGACACCATTTGCAAGACATACTATTCTAAAAGATATGTTCCACTGCAGAGAGAGAGAGAGAGAGAGCAGTGGCTTGCATGCACGACATACTATTCTGAAAGATTTGTCCCACTAGAGAGAGAGAGAGAGAGAGAGAGAGAGAGAGAGAGAGAGCTGTTGCGCTTTCGACAAGGTCTGCTCCACCGACTACCCATCACCGGAAGGAGCGAGAAGCATCGCTGTTACATCAAAATCAGCACCGAAAAGAGAGACTCGTGTACACGGTGGTGAGCAGTGGACGAAGTCATAGGGGGCTGAATAATGCAAATGCGGCAGTGTATGGTTCCTCCGTTCTTTATGATTTCTGGTTTAATTTCTATTATTTAATGTTCTTGAAGCTAATAATAAGATCAGGTTGAAAAGCATTTTCCATATTTTAATTTGAAGATTGATCGATCTTCATCATAATTTTTCAAAATAAGAGAAGTTTTCGGTCTTCTTCAATGATCATCACATTAGAATCAACTTTATATACAAGTTGATCATCATCCATAGTTTGGTTGACCTACTTTGGAAGTATAAGTGTTGTATGGAAATTATTCACTCTCCTCTAATTTCATATTTTTATGCCGCTCATCATTTTGAAAAGATTATATCGAGACTCTTTATTTAATCTTTTTCAAGATTTAAAACTAATTAAGTATTTTTTTTATAATTAATTACTTTTAGTATTTCGATTCTTTTACTTTCAAAAATTATATTGAGATCTCTATATTTACGAAGGTAAAACATTTGAATCGTTGCGCCGACAAAACCCTTTCTCTCTTAATTTTTAAACTTATAAATAATTAAGTGATAGTCTGTAATTAACCCCAAGATTCATCACATCTATTGTTTTTTATATGCTATCATGTTTGATTCTCATATTTTTCATTATCATTTTCAAACAATTTTAATCTTCGTAAATTCAAAACTATAGTTTTCATATGGTAATTTAGATTTGAATTATTTATTGCAATGTTTACTTCAAAAACATCTTTTTCTTGCAACTTGAATTACCAAAAATAATCAAGAGAGAGATGGCTTATGATGAAAGTTTCGTTTTATGGATTTTATGTACATTGAATTGTAGAGGGAGAAAAGGAAGAAAATAATGCTTGCATGGAGATTTATTCTTACAGAATAATCCCTTATTTTCATCCATTATCTCATAACAACTCAACCAATATAATTATTTTATAGAATACCATATTACATTCCATGTATTATCAACACACCAAACATACCAAAACCTTAATCATGACAGATACCACTAATAATGCCATAGTAACTTGCAAATATAATATGTTAGAAACGTAGAAAAGGTCAAAGAAGATACAGTGAGAACTCCAAAAGAGAAAAAGTTGTTGCTGAAATCTAGAGAGAGAGAGAGAGAGAGAGAGAGGACAACTGCTAGAGAAGACCAAACTGTTATCACTAGCAAACCGAAGAGAGAAATAGGAGACGCAGGAGTGGGGAGGCCTGAGGCTTGAACCAGAAGGGGACCATTGAAGACCTCTCGAGTTCGACCTAGTTGCAGCAAGACCTCTTTATGCCCAACACAGGAAGACGACTGGGGTGTCAAAAGGTCTGCATTGCTTTGTAGATTCTTTGGAAGACCAGTAATTTTCTCTTCATCACTACAACACGTGGTACGGAGATGTTGGAAGAATAGGGTGTAGAGGAATAGAAGCACATTGAATGCACTGAGAACATTCTTTTTGTCGGATCAAATGGAATGTCATTGAAAGATAAATTGAAGTAGACAAACACAGTCGTCACGTTCAATTCAAAGAACTTTGAGAGAGGAAACGATTTGCAATCTCTCGGGCCTTCTTTCCTTTATCGTTCCTTAGCCACAAACAACGGAGAAGAGGAGAGAGAGAGATAGAGAGAGAGTCTGGAGAAGTGATCAGGAAGTAAAGGAGCCTAATAGGGAGGCACCGGGACCCTCGCCGGTGCCGGAATCAGAACTGTCGCCACTGAGGGCAGTGGAGGAGGAGGAGGAAGGCTTACCTCCAGCGTGGCCTTGGCCGGCCGCGGCGGCGGCGCGCTTCCGCTTCTTCTTATCGTAAGGGATGCCGCGGGACTTGGCCTGGCTCTCGCGGACGTCGTGGAGGAAGATGCGGATGGCGCGGGCGGCGAAGGGGTTGGTGTCGGGGGAGCCGCCGGACTCCTCGTAGGCGGCGCGGAGACGGCCGACGAGGGCGTCGAGGGAGCCCCAGGCCTGGCGCAGGGGGCAGGCGCAGGGCCCCGGCGGGCTCGGGTGACCGTAGAAGGCGCACCTGGGGACGTGCACCTTGGTCTTCCCGAACTGGTCCAGGTACCGCAGGAACTCGATCACGTGGGCACCGCTGCACCGCGACAGCACCAGCGGCGGCTTATGGTTCCGCAGGTATTGCACGAAGGTATTCCAGTCTCGCCGCTTCTGCGACTCGTACCTACTCGGTTCCGCCTGAGGCGGCCTTGCCTCGCCCCTCCACGGCTCCGCCGACTCCATGCACCGCCTCCCCCTGCCTTCTCTTCGCCCACTTGCACTGTTCTACCCGTTTCACGTCGCTTCTTCTCTTCTCTCTCTAATCAGGGTTAAGAAAAGAAGGCATTAGAAAGAGAACCGACACACGGTGGCCCTGCGGCTGGAGTCGGTAGCCTACTGTGGGAAGAAAGGAGGAGATGTTGGTGGAGTCCGGTCACACTGGAAAGTTGGCCGTGGCAAATCTTTCAGGCCAAAATATATATGTGCCTCACGCTAATTATAGTTTTTTATAGTTTTTATTCATTCATTTATTTCTTTATTTTATTTAATTATCTATTAATTTAAATAAAAAAAATGTATTTATTTTTAAAATAAATACTAAAAATATTAAAAGGATATTACATATTCATAAATATGTTCCCAAACTTACCTTGAATTGGATCTATTTGTTGTGAGCAACTGGAATCAGGATAAGTATGCTTTTGACTTGGGTAAGAAGTCTTTTATCTTTCACAGTGCTGCTAAAGTTGATGCAAGAACTGTTCATGAGGTCATCAGGTGTGGCATCCACAATAGTTGCAGAGGGAAGTGTGACTGATATGTTGCTGTCCAATGAGTCGAAGATGTACAATCAATCATGTGGCAAATCCGTAGCCTCGTGATGCAGTGCTTCGGACTTATCAATTGCCGGTCCTGTATGTACGTCGTGAATGAATATGATGTCTCATAAACTTTGTACGAGGGATAGGGTTTTTTTCCCCATTTATTTCTCGGACAAAATATACATTCTTGAATATAATTGTAAAAATCTTCCTTTTACATGTTCTGTTGTGTTGTGTTGGTGTGCAATTCTTTGTATTTTTATGATGAGATGTGGTAATTATAATGAGTTCATCTTTTGCTGTTCATAAAATTTTCATTTCATGCATATTATTATAAATTATTTCTTATAATTAGATCTGTTTAGCATATGGATACTTATGTTTAAAAAATTTATATTAAAATCTTTATAGTCAAACTTTTTTAACATCATAGACTTAAAAAATTTATATTAAATTTTCTATAGTTATGAAATTAAAATATTTAACTCAATTTACCATAACATCATCGGTTTTAACGACGGAAGATATAGATCAAGTCGAAATTATCTTTTTGCCTATTATCTTGGTACTATTCGTGATATCAATAAGGACGACCATCACGTTGTTCTTGTTGACCATCATCACAATAGTCACTCATAGTGTTATCACTCGTCACTATTGTTGAAATTATTATTTTATCTATTATTTTTATGTCATTGTGTTGTCACATACTATATCTTTCGTCAATAAGGCCGTTGACATTAGAATAAATAAGGTTAAATGCTTCGTTTTTAGAATTATAGAGATTTCAATATAAATTTTTTAAGTATAAAGACCGAGATACTAAATATGTTTAACTATATGCCAGTGACAATTATCTTCAATTTTAATGATATAAAATGATAACATTACATTAATTTAAGGAACAAAATATCTCTCAAATTAAGTTTTGTTGCGAAGAAACATAAGCATAATTATGCCCACCAAAGAAGCTCTTTCCTTCCATCTCTCTCTACCACTCCTACCATGCTTTTGTGGCGTAGTAAAATGAGGTTACTGTTTACTCGTAGTAGTACAAATCTATGGTACGTGAAAAAGGACCGATCAACAGTGATGTTTTGTTCCTTCTTTCCACGAGAATACATCAACATTCAAGAAGATTAGCAATGACACAATAATTTACGTAGGATAAGTGAATGTTTGTGTCGATTATGCACGACAAACTTAAATGGTATACAACATATGATATAACACTGGATGAACGAGCTATATCATCCGACTCATCCCATGCTCACAGTATGATATTATTCTCTAATTATCTTTCAATGTATTCCATTGTGAGGGAGAAGAAATGGGTTGAATGTAATGAACAAAAAGCAAAGCTCAATTATGTTCCAATTTTTGATCTTTGGTTTTGCTTATTGACTTTCTAAATTCCAATTAATATTTCAATTGAGTCGTATCATCAACTTCGTCGCATTCTACGCTTATCGATAGAAACTATTACATGATTAAAATGTGATGTAAAACTAAGACAACTAATTAACAAAACTGAAGTTTAGTTACTAAAATATACTTTTATGATCTAAATCTTGCACCTCAAGTTATGTGGCACTCCAAAGTTAGATTCCAAAGGGACAAACTTTGATGGAGTGAGAGGACTTTGGGAGAGACCTATTGCCTACTTCGTCCGACATAGTATGGGGCGACATCACTCGCTATTGTACACAAAGATAGTACTTGTGCTCTTGATAGTCTTTATAATCTTTAACTCTTTTTTTTTTTTACCTTTTTTTTATTTGCAATAATAATTCCTATGCTTTGTTGAAATGTTAATTCAAGATTTGAGTGGAGTTAGGAATTTGATTAGCATGTAATGGTGATAAATGAATATTAAGGATTTTAGTACATCTTATGTTTATCTTTTGTTATCTTTTTTATGAAGTCATGTTTATATACATACAAATCCCTCTTAGTCTTTTCAATCTCCATTCACTTAAATAATTTAAGTATTTGACTTCAATGGCAATTAATGAGTTAGAATCCGATAGCTTAATTATTCCATCAATTTCGTTTGGATTAAATCATTGAAATATTTAGACTAAAGTTAATAATAATATACTTATCAAACTTTTATAACTCAATATTAGTCATACCTACTTTTGATATATGATTAATAAGGATATTGCACATTCGATACCTAAGTATCATTAATGACAAGCTATTAGTATTTTTTGATATTATTCCGATCAAATATGCATCGATATGTTATTAGTATTTTTAAGAATAATATCAACCTCTTATAAGATAAATGTGTCATTCATTTGATGAGACTTATTAGTCCATTTATTTTTTATATAGATTATGGAGAGTAAATGTCACTTAACTTCATTTTAATTAACTTAACTCATTTTGATTAATAAATCTATTTTCTTTTTAACATGAATCTCACTTTGATCCTTATCACCATAATATACTACCACATTAGAAAATTTTAATTTTCACATTTGAGCACAACATCATGGTCAATATATGTGATTTGATTTTTTCAATACATACTAATATTTTCTTATTTTTATCTCCTACACATAAATATTATCTAATAATCAGACAAATCAGGAATCATGCAAAATCCATGTTAATCATAAATATAAAAAAAAACTTACAATCATGAAAGCTCCAAGGTTTAGAGATCCTTTTTTTCTCAATTTATTTTTTTATTACATTATGTTAGGTTGATAAGTATTTTTAAGAGTCTTAATTATATTTAAACTACTTGAAGTAGTCATAACTAAATTTAAACTATTAGATTAAAATTTAAATTAAAAATTTAATTAGGAAAAGTAGTTCTCGGAGAATTAAGACTTGTTTCTATAAATATATTTTGGGTCTCAAGGTTTTGATGTGACAGAGAGACATAGAGAGAATTGATTGAAAAGTTATCCGGATTTATATAAGATGATATATAAGGGGTTTTAAGTCTGAGTTTGAGCTAATTTAAGGAAGAATAGTTAATTATATTAATTTTTTATATAGTAAAAAAAATAGTTTTCTTTATGGACATAGAAATGAAGTTACTGAAATAAGTTACTATCTTGATTTGATTGTCTAATATATTATTTCAATTGGTGATCTCTTGTATTCTTTTGGTTTTAGATTTCTCACTCCAAAAGATAAAAGAAGCACTTGCCTACAACATCTAGTTTAGATGATGGTAAGGAATCCATGTCAAACGAATACGAGGAGCCAATATTAATGCCACATTACAAGTATGATCTCGTAAACATATTGTGTTGTCTTAGTTCCCTCCGACACGTCCCGTCCGTGTCCTGATGCCTAAATCTTTGCCATGTACGTGAAAGGAATCTTGAGCGCCTGTGTCCGTCCATCTTCCACCCGAGGTGAATGCACGGTATCTTGTGGTCGAGGACGAGGACGAGGAAGAGGAGGACAACAAATCATCCTTGCACACTCGATCGCAACCATACATGACAACCAAAAACACAAAAAGGAAGGAATGAATGAATGAGGTGAGATCCAAGAACAGCTTCTCCCCTAAGCTCAACATATGATAGATTTCAACCACGTTTCTCCAAAGTTAATGCCTTAGCTATTGCTAATCAATTGATGTCCTATAATTTGTCAAAAAAATCACAATTTTTGTAACGTTTACTAAGTTTACTCATCAGATTTTGTGGCCAAGAACATAATACTAATTGCAAGATTCGATCAAATCTAATTAAAAAAACTACTTGCCAAGCCTTGTGTGCCCTAAG